ACCCCGCCCCCAAAGCCCCGCGATGCCCCTTTCGGGGCAGCCGACACGTGCCGTGCCAGCCCTGCGAGCCAGACGCCCTCCCTGCTCGCGGCGGCGCCGGGCACACGCGCTGCCCAGGCCAGGACGGTCCCGCTGCCGCGTTCGGTGCCCTCAGCGCTCGGTCCCTCTGGCCGAGGCTGCTGCTGCCAGCGACTCGCTGGTGCTGCTCGAGCCCCGCTCCGCTGCAGCGCCCACAGCTCTGCAGCGGATACTCCTTGTACTAAGAACAGTTTTATTGAATCTGAAGAATGATCGTAAATATTGTTATTTCTCTTTCTCTTTTTTTCCCTCTTCCAATTCTATTTCCAACCAGTCCTTTCAACTCAGAAGTTCTTGTTCCAGTGAAAAACAGTAAACACTTTCACTGTGGCACGGGGCAAACTGGAGTTTGCTTGATTATGTGATGAGGAAGTTGGGCACTGGACTCACCCCATTTTCCAAGGTACATGCACTGCACTCCAGCCACCAGCTGCTTTACAGTAATCCCATTATGGCATGAAAAAGCAAAGTGACTTACAAAATAACGTTTTTTGGCAACAATTTCATCAACTGGTACTTGGGCTTTTCACCTTGTCTCAAACTATGCCATAAGCAGAGGGTTGAGCCAGGGCTGCCTGGGTCCATGGCTGTTCTGGAGCCTGAGCTGCCCTTCCCTTTCGTGGATTGCCCAAGCAGCACCGTTTAGGTTGTTGTGTTACCAGAGAGCTTGGAGATGCTCTTGTTCTGCAGAGGAACAAGAAACAGCACACGAGTACAATCAGGAGATTCCTCCCTGGCTGACCATAGATAGATTAATTCTGGATTCATGACGTTAACATTTGCAATGCATTTGCAGTAGAAAGTATTATTATTATTTTCTGCAAGAAAAATTATTCCTCAAAGATGAACTAATGCTAGCTTAGTTCTCCCCAAAAACTGGACAAAGTGAGCCACATGCTACAATCCTTTATGACATTCCCTAATGATGAGATTATATGAACAGAATTCTACAATATAAAGGATTAACAGAAGAGCCAAATCCAAGTAGGATCTACTATAGGCCCCAATGATCGGTCATGTAATAACCCTTTAGAGATAAGGCATATAATAGAATCTAAGCTGTTCCTAACCCCCAGTGCTACTGCTTATTAAAATAACGTTTTCAAGGTAGCAGTCTAGTAAAACGGACTTCAATCCTCATTTGAAACTCTTTCTCTTGCAGAAACCGAAGGGCTGTTTTACTCTTTTCTGCACTTCAAAGCCAGACCTGAACAGTGCAAGCCAGAAGAGAGGAGGCTGTGTCCTGCCAGGAGCAGATGAGCAGCAGTGTCTCAGCACGGTGACCGCGCTGCGCGGGCTGCACGCTGCTCACTGCTGGCAATCCATCAGTGCAGTGACCTCCGAGTGTTTCTGGAGCGTTAATGTTGGGAGATGGCACTTCAGCACAGGAAAGTCTGAGGCTTCTGCTAGTGTTTTCAGTGTATATAGTTCATACAGCATTGCTCAGTGCTATAAGCTTTTGGTTTTTGCACACTGTGTAGTTGTTCAATGCATCGTAAGTGCACTGCACAGCATAAATTCTATAAACCAAAGCCATGCAGTTTTACTCAGTGGCAGCTCAGCATTTTTCATCTTTTTTAATAAAATCTGCACCTACATACTCCTGGGATCTTGTTTATTCCCAACTTTCAGCACGCTGAAGTTCAGTGTCAACCACTCGCCTAGGCTGTACAGTTTTCACTTAGGCTACAAAAGGAGACAACCTGCTAACAACCTCCATATGTCTGATAATAATCACAGCAAGGTGTAAATTCCCTGCTTCCAAATCTGTAATTGTGCAATAAATACTTGCTTAATAAAGCTGAATTTTGTTTGTAAAGTGCCTGCTGGTTATTCAGAGAAACTCAATGTGGAAATGGTCTATTAAGTCCCCTCTAAAGTAGTCCCAGGGCCTCTGCAGACCTGTTCCCTCTGATACTCTCTGCTGGCAGATGTCACGTGGTAAATACTCAGACTGGGGCACAAGGTCAAAGGAGAAACTTGACTTTACCCTTGAGTCAGAAGTTGCATTTCTCTTCTTTGTAAAACTTTGGGTATGATGTATAGATATGATGGAGATAAAATTATACATTTCTGTGATCTGCTTCTTCGAATAAATAAGGAAAGCACTGAAGCCAAAGCAAGTTTAAGGATAAACTGTAGTGTACACAAAATGTTTTAAAAGGCCGCACCTGAATGCCTTTTATTTGAACAGTAAAATCCAGCTTCAAGAGCTTGAACTGGCTGAAACAAGGAGAAAAACAAACAAACCTGTCTTGGGTTATAAACTCCTATAGAAATAGGATTTTTCTGGATTTTTTTTTTCTTCAGTGAAAGATTGATTTCTCTGCCCCTTTTCTTTAAGGAGTGGGTGGCTTCTGCCAGGCCAGACAACGTAAATCCTGTCCAGGGAGTTGCTGCTTTGGCTCAGCGCAGCTGTTTTCCTAAGGCACAGTAATTCAATTTGCTAAAATCAGAGACATTAAAACATGAAAACTCCATGCAGAAAATGGGAATAAATACATAAGTCAGCATCTGAGGAGAAGGAAGACAATGCAACTGTATGGCAAGACATGTCGGTGTGTGGCCCTGACAACTCCGTCCTCAGCAGCTGTCATAGTAGGCGACTCGCTTGTGGATGGAATCCCGAATGCTCTCCACCCGCTCCTCCAGGCCCACGAGGCTCGCCGACTTGGAGATAAAAGCTTCGTTGCTTCCTTGAATTTCTGTCTCTAAAGCTGAGAAAAGGGGGAGGAAAGTATTACAAGCAGCTCTCAGGTGGAGGACAACATGTCCAGTTATCCTTTCAGAGGCTACTGGGGTTAGAAAAAGCCTTTGCCTCCCTCACAGAGCAGACATTGCTCACGGAGGAGTAAGGAGAGACAGTTAACACTCCTCCTTCCGCATTTCCCTGTCACCCCCCAGAAAATCTGAACACAGCTGCTCCGAACTTTGGCTCACAAACACTGCAGATCTTGACGGAGGAGCCACGCACGCCAGCGCCCGCGCTGACGCTGTCACTGCAGCCACGGAGCCCAGCCCGGCGTGTGCAGGCGCCTGCACGAGGGTCCCGCTGGCTGCTCCCAGGCGGCCCTCAGTGCGGGGGCGGCTCGCAGGCTTTGGAAGGACACAACGCGGCTCGGAGCCCTGGCCTCGGCCGCACGGCCCTGCAGGAGCTCCTCGACGTGCGCCAGGAGTTATCCACGCCAGCGAGGACAAGGCCCTCTGCAAACACGGCCTGGGCCACAGGGCAGGGCGTTGGCCACTCTCCTTGCACTTGGGAGGTGGTGCCAGCCTCTTGGCCAGCTACTGGCTGGCCCAAAGAGCCACCAAAGTCACTGGTTTTGAATGTTTAAAACTGAAGAGTACCCGAGCAGGAAAAGCAAGATACTGCTAAGGGCCTATCCGCTTTGCAGGCTCAGGTGTCCCTCCTACAGCAGGCACACATGCCCTTGCTGACTCCAAATTTACGGGCTTAGTAGCAGCAGTCGCAGCCCGATGCACACCCCAGCACTACTGAGGATCTGGTCTTCCCTCAGCCCTTGTGGCCCTTCCCTTCCCTCCTTGCAGCCACTTTTCCTCAGCCCTCGAGAAGCCCCTCCTCACTGCTGGAGACTGCCTAGAGCGCAGGCTCTCGCACGGAGCGCAGGCTCTTACTTTCCATCCTGCGCATCATGGCCGAGGTTTCCTCCAGCAGAGCTTTGGCTTCCAGGTTCACGCTTTGCAGCCTGCTGCCCTGCACTCCCAGCGTCGAGCTCTCCTTCATCCTTCCCTTCACCTCAGCGTACATTTGTTTCACTTGTTCAAATGCCTGTTGGAAAGCAAAGAGTGCTTGGATGCAGAATCAAACAAATTGGGTGAAAAGGGATTCTGCAATGCTGAATCATTTTAAATAGCAAATGGATACTATCCTAAAGCTTTGCCATTAGTATTATTATACAAATGCATGAAGGCTTACAACACTAACACAGCTCTGCTCACCGATAGCTATGTAGGCCACCCTATCTCAGGTGGGAGATAAAGCAGAAATAAGTTTTCAGCAATAGGTATTAGCATTGAGAATGGCCTGGATAGTGGGATATTACACAATATGAAAAAGAAAACAACAGTGCAGTGGATAGGGAACTCTCCTTGCTCCATCTGAAAATGTGCCTTGCCACAGCTGGCTTTGCTGCCTTATGCCAACAGGAGGCAGGTGCAAGGCGTGAACTGCTCCCGCCCCGCCGTGCCGGAGCTCGGGTACCTGCCGCGCGCTCCTCGCCTGCTCGCCGGCCTCGGCCGCTGTCTGCTGGGCATCGCTGGCTCTCAGGCGATTCTGGTCCGCTTTGTGCTGCAACTGGCTGAGTCTCTCTGCAAGTCCATCCAGCTGGCCAGCAATGGACTTCACATTACTCTCAGTGGGGCCAAGAACGGCCTTGATCTAAAAGTACAGTGTTGCACATTAAGGAGGAAATCACATCCAAAACAACATTACACTATTTCAATCTTTGACTGACAAATTACAGAATGGAGGTTTCAGCTGGGGATCAGAGACAGCACTACACAACTGAGTCAAACAAAAGAGAGGTCTTGTCTCAGGTAGCTCAGCCAAGGTTTGACTGGAGTTTGGAGAAGCAGACAAATGAGATGCAGCAGGAACAAAAAACAGCACAACTTCCTCAGATCATCCAGCTTCTCTGCCATGTGGACACAGGACACTATCAAGCAGGAAGTGTCAAAGGGTGAGTGAGCAAGGCAGAATATTGCTACTTAGAAAGCCCTTGTCCACCACCTACTTCGTCAACACGCTCCTGGATGAAGCGAAGGGAAGAGCTAGAGCCCCTGATAGCCCCCTGGGCCTCTAGGAGCACCGTGTTTGCTCGCCGCAAATTCCCAACCACCTCTTCCACGTTGCCCTCCACAGCATTTGCCCGGTTCCTGGGAAACACAGGAAAGAGTCCGTAAATTAGAACTGAAAAGTACTGAACTGTCTTTTCTGTTTTTGTTTTTGTTTTTTTTTTTTCTCCAACTGATGCAGGAAAAAATATTAAAGGGAAAGCAACAGCCATTCAACCAGTTACAGCTTCTCTGTTTGCAGTGAAAATATTCACACTCTGTGACAGACTATCCCCTAGAAAGCCAGGCTCCCTTCCTCATCACTTCCAGCAGGTTAAGCAGGTGTCAGACACTACCAAGGAGTTTACATACTTATCCTGCTAACCTGCTCTCTGGGATACTGCTGAAAGTCAACATGTGGCAAAGCAGATGCTCCAAATGTGCAAAGCCCCTAATTACTTTTTAAGGGACTGTGGGATAATCCTCCCAACTTTCACCCAGAAAACAAACAGTCCATTTAATCCCTCACACTCTCTTGTGCAATTAGGATATAGGTCATCAGTATCAAGCAATGCAGGGGCAAGCCTGTCATCTCTCACTGTGGGGGCTCTAGAGAAAGAAAAGAACTTCCATTACTTCTGCTAAAGACCTCCTTGTTCTAGTACCTACAATGAGATCTATTATTAGCAGCCAGGTTTCTTACTTGTATTCGGGCACCACAGGGATTGCAAACTCATTCTTTTAGGTACTGCGCAGACACAGAAGATCCTGGGTTGAAACTGCAGGTCGTGCAAGTCAGCACAGCTGCAGCAGTTAGGTTTAACCCCGACTGAGAACCACCACATCCATGCTGGCTGTGTAACCCTCAGCTGCTGAAAGCCTTCAATTCCCAACTGACCTGGCTTGCTCTGCTTCCTGCTGCAGCTGCTTGGCCTTAGCAATATCGTCGGCCGTCTGGGCAAGGATGCTCTCCGGACACTGCAGCTTAGTGGCCAAATTTTGGATCTCGGTCATTTTTCTCAGGACTGCAGCAGCATCCGTAGGGAGACGTAGTGAGAGAACAGACTCGCTGATTTCCTGGATAGCAGCAGGGTCAGTATCTCTGTCTAAAGAGTTTGCAAATAAACAATATCAGAAATAGAAGAAAAGAATAGGAAGGCAGGAAGGCAAATGCAAAGGAGCATGAAGGCAGATATCCAGCTCTGTGTGTTCTCACATACGCTTGGTCTCTTTACTTCAGATTGCTACCAAAACCCACCCTGAATTTAACTAACTAGAGCAGGGGCCAGTTTCTAAAGGCAGGCTCAATATGAAGGTGATCTGCCTCACGCTAACCAAACTAAGACACCAAACAAGAGGCACCAAAAAGGTCAAGGCAACGGTTCTACCACATATTCCATCACAGAATACAGCCAGGAAACAGACCACATACCCCTGATGCAGAGCAGCATCTCTGAACCTGACTGGGTATACTGTGCTTCAGCTACAAGGCAACACTCAGAATGTAATTCTCCAAAAATCTAACCTTCCGTGTCAGGTGGATATGTCAGTCAAAGACAGGGACAGCAGGACAGCTCCAGCTGTGGTGCAAGTCACTGAGCACAATCATAATAGCAGCGCTTTCAACTAAACCTTCCCTTTTTCATTTTCTTCCTCCATATTCAGGCGTGCAGGGAGCAGTCCCATTTCTGCTGTCCATTCCGGATTTGTGCTGTATCTTTAGAGTTTTAAGGGCTCTATGATTCTGTCTCCATTACTCTGAATAACATCTCTGACATCTTTCTTTTCCCAGCTTGGGTCTAAGTTACCACATAAAGGTTCCTAAGCATGTCCCAAATATGTTGATTGGCATCTTTTGGCATATTTGATGCTTTAGAAATCCTGAGGTAAAAATCTCTGTAAAACTGTCCTCATAAATTTGCTATGGGTATTCAGTTTTAGACCAGGATGATTTTGCTGATGACTGTTACGGACTTACCTGAGGGACAAATATGATAAACCGTAGGTTTGTTTCAGCATTGAAAATCTGTCCTACTGCTTAGAATAAAACGAGAACTGCATTTACATTTAGTATGCACTTTTCATTCACCTTGGCAAAGCTTTCCAGAAAAGTACTAAAATGATACCTTTAATTTGGCAGACAGGGTAAGATGGCTAAGCCCAGAGCTCAGTCACGTAAATCTCATTGACTAAATGAGACTGTGTTTCAAGACAAGCCTTTTCTTATTTCACAAATAAAAGTTAACAAATCTGAGGAATCAGATGCAGGCAGAGCCCAAGGGACATTAGCCCAGTGATTAGCTCAGAAATATCTTCACTCATCATTAACACCAGGCAGCACCAAATGACCTGATTTTCTTATTCAGCTAATGCTCATGAGGCTTATTATGTTATTACAATCTGTCTGCGAACAATAAGTCATCCCACTGTTTTATAGGACAACAAGGAATTTAGTCTGATTAATAGTCTGAAGATTTGTCTGAGTTTACCTGCGGTCAATAAATGCTGCTGATAAACTCCTGCATCTCCAGGCTGCTCAGAAGCTGCTGTCCTAACCAGAGCTAACGGGTGACATTCACAACCAGCTTCAGCACAGAGGCCCTGGGTGAACGTGTTTGTCCCCAAGCCCCACAGACAAAGAAAGGAACTGTGGAGAGCAGGACACAAAAAAAAATCTGCTGTCCATGCTACAAATGAAAGACTCCTCTTCCTCAAGGCTATCCATCTAAGCTTTCCACTTTTGTTAAATTCAGGCTTTGTTTTAGAACTAAGAGATTTGACAACAGATTTGGCTGAAGGCAAAGCCCAAGGTTTGGTATGTTGTATGTTTTTACCCCAGGCCACACATTTATAGATGGCTCTTAACATCCCTGAAAGGAAGCAGGCCAGGTCCACCTTTGGTGAAGTGCCAGGGAAGCCAAGATGGATAAAACACACGGGATTAATTTGGTTTCATGTGAATGGCACAATCAAGCTTGACCAAATCAGCTGGCCAAATTTCACTTATTGACAGAAATTGATGAGCTTTGTATTGCTGAAACTCCTCTGCTTTTCAGGAAACGCACTATGGATGCACGTTATCTTGGGGTCGTGAATACACTCAAGTGCAGATGAACTGGCTATCTCTGAGCCTAGAGTGGGTGAGCTATTCAGTTAATTCCCTTCATTGTATATATACACAGGGTCACTCTACAAGATTTGGTCTTCCACGCACGAGCCAGCCTGTCCGTACACACTGCAAGTTTGCACAGTGCTACCTGACAAGAAGTTCCGAACTTTCCGGATGAACTGCTGAATGCGTCGGACGTCGCCTTCTATCTGGGTCCTTGTTACACTCATCTGCTCCACAAGACGCTGAGTATTGCTTTGAATCTGATTTGCAGATGTCTCTGTTGCTTTAATCTGCAAACAACAATATTTTACTGAAGCTGTAGCACTTGCCCTGGATTCCCAACAGCCCTACACAAGCCCCAAACAAATTAGGCAAGTCTGCAAAGTGTGCCAGGAACTGCAGGGGTAGCATACAGATATTCATTTAAAGAAATCCCAAATTTCTGAAGCAGTCCAAAAGATCAAGTGTCAGATCAAGTTTGAGATTGGTTATTTTATCACAATCTGTTCTTTCGGTAGCTGTTTAACAGGTGCCACATCTGCTGCCCTACAGCAGGGACCTAAGCAGGGAGCGCCGCGCTCCGTACTCACCAGCCGCGCGGTTTCCTGGAGCCGGGCGCTCAGGCTGCGGAACTCGCTCGAGGCCTTCTCAGCCCTCCGGAGGGCACCTCGTGACAGGGGGAAGATGCCCCTGCAGCCCAGAGCAGCTCCACACTCTGTGCTGTTGTCTCGCAGGCAGAGGAACCCTTCGCACCGGGCAGGAGTGCACTCCTCCTGCCTGAAGCCACCGCAGACCTACGCGGGGAGAGAGCAGCACATAGCACCGAGGTCCCACAGTGCCCTGGCATCCTCGGCGCCACAGAGACCTCAGTGGCTTCAGTCTGACAGACGAGCCAGCTTATGCCAGGCTCCTGGAGAGACTCGGGACAAGGGAGCCGGGCAGGAACCTGGAACACTTCTACAGTGAAGCTTTACGTGGAACATCAAAAGTGCCAACCCTTTGGTTTGGGTAGCTACCAATGACATGTACCTGAGTGCCTGATTCAGCCCAAATGACCAGACTATGACTGTGTCAGACGAGGACAGGCAGAACTGAGCACACACAGATTGGCTTTGAGTGTTCACATCCAAGACAGTGATGTGAGCTCAGAACCTAAGAATGACCTTGAGCTCAATTAGGAGCAAAGTGGGAGCTATATTCCACCAGCTCATGAAGTATAACAGAGAGCTTGTCTACATGGAGCAAACACTACATTTCCTCTCAGGACAGCAGCTCTTCACAGGGACAGGAATCCCTGCAGCCTGACATTTTCCTTTTCGAGAGAAAAGAGGCTGAACAAATCCTGCTCCCTGCCAAAACACAAGTGGTTTTAACTGCAGGTCATGTTCTAGAGTTACCATCCAGAAAGGGCACTGCAGCAGGGGCACAAGCAAATTCAGAGTTAGTGCAAACACCTGTGCAGGCTGATTGCTTGGGAACATTCGGATGCCCTGAAAAGCAGAGATGGAGGCTGGTGGTCTCCACAGCAACCGTGCATTAAGAGACACTGAAATGGATCTCCATGGCAATAACAAAGCAGTGAAGGAGAAAGAAAAGGAACTTATCCTGAAATTAAGTGGATCTTTGAGATACAAGAACTGACACAAAAGATAGTCCTTGGAGGAAAAAACCCTGGAAAGGTGTGAGGTGGTGGGTGCCCAGTACTTTGGTATCTGCTGTTACTAGACAAGGGGTGCTCAGAGTGCACCCCACTGATGTCCCAAAGGAGCAACCTGCCAGGATGCCATTCACAATGTGCGTCCAGACATTTCATCCTATCATGTTAGACTGCTGGAAGAAAGATGGATGATGCCAGGGTAGGACTTTCCATTTCCGAGCACAACAAGATCCTCTTAAAAACTAGAAATTTGTGAGGAAATAAAAAAATAGCTTGCTATTTTCACCTTATTTATAACTGGGGTCAAGTTGGGCAAGGAGGCTGTCTTGCCCTGCAGAGTCTGCAGCGTGGAGGTGTAGTCTGTGAAAGCCCCTTCCAGTCCCTCAACGCTTCTCCTGTTCTCTCTGGATTCAGTTAGCAGCCTGGAGGCAGCAGCCACGAGGCTGCTGGCATTGCTGGATGTCTGGTAAGCAGATCTGATTGTCTTGAAGGCTCCTGCAGGAATAAAAACAATAAATGACAAAAATACTTTCATGACTCATAAATGCAGCATAGCTACCTAAACAAGCCATTGACTATACCCTGCAAGTGGATGTGTGCACAGAGAGGAGGGGGACACAGTAAGGGAGGTTAGTCACTAAAGCACAACTAAAATTTGCCTTCATTTCCAAACACCTTTCAGCCACTCTTTCACAGTGAGCGATAGAGCCTTCCTGAAGAACCAAATTCTGGTTTGAGGCTCAGAGATTGCAACCAAAGCAGAGCAGAGGCAACACAAGTGCTGATTCTTTGCTCAGCACGCCCCGAAGGGGGCCCTGGAAGGTAATGCGCCTTCGCAGCCCTTTCCATCCTCGGGGGTAGAGCCAGCCCCTTCCCGACGCCGCCGCAGCTTGGAAGGAGAACGGACAGGACTTAGGTCCGTAAACCCTGCTCAGACGAGCAGGGAGTCGGGGCAAACGCGCGCAGGCAGAGGTCGTTCTCCACGTGTTGGGATTAGTTCCTGCAAGGCTGAGCTGGACTGTGCTGCACACGAAGGAGGGAAGGCAGAAGACAATAAGATGCTCGGAGAGAATTAGCTGCCGCAGGGATATAATGGCAACCTACTACCACCATCATCACAAGGCTTAATTAGCTCTTCTCCTGAGTGTGTGACAGTCGCCTGGCTCCCTTTTCCACCCCTCCATCCTTCCCATCTGTGCAGAACCGTCATTATTGCAGCTTCCTCCTGGTGTCTGTGACACATTCGCAGAGGGGCTCACCCCCTTCGCCAACAGTTCATGCTGGGCCCTGGAGAAGAGGCGCTTCTGCAGACAGCAGGAGTTTGTGCAGGGTGAGAGGGACATCAGCCAGCCTGCTGGGACACCAGGAAGCGATGCATGCAGGCTGAGGCTTCCAAGCCCAATATTCGAGAGCAAATAATCTGTTAGCATAAAATTGCTAGTAATGGCTAAAATTAGAGGTTGGATAAAAGGAGCTATTTACAGTTCCTAAGCCAAAAGCCTGTTAAAAACTTCTCTATTCAAGCAGTGAGAAAGCAGCAAGAGTCAGAGGCACGTTGAGGTGAATGAACGGACACAAATGAGGGAGCAGTGTGACTGCAGCACCATACCTGAAATATCGGTGCTGCGGCTCGTTTCAAACTGGGTCTTTTTGGTCTCATACTGGCTGTTAATGATAACCAAGCTTCTGTTGAGGGTGTCAAGCTCACTAGATAGAGAAGCAGTCTCATCCAGAAAATGAAGGTCAGGATTTATGCCTCGGGCTTCCTTCCTGGGATAGAAAAGCAGAAAATGTGGATTCAAGCATCCAGCAAACCATCAGTAGACAGACATTAGGGTCCTCTTGCGCTAGGCAGCTACAAACACATGGTGAAGAGGTACTTCTCTCTGTCCAAAGAATTGACTGCCCAAGGACACACAGTAGCCTTGGAGGTCTGCACAGCCCACGGAGAGCAGCGCCGGGTTAGAGCTCTCCTCTCTGCCTCATCTTGCAGGACTGGGTTTACATCAAAACCCTGTCGAATAGTCTCCTCTCTATATAGAGAAAGCCCAGCTCACAGGAGGAGCAATTGGAAGGACAGGCCTCTTGCGTCCCTGATCTTTGCAAGAGCTGAGCAGTATATTCAATTATGGAAGCAAAGCAGAAACTATTCAAGTGAATCAGTCTGACAAGTCTCGTCAGTGCACAGGAAAAGTCTGTATCTCTTCCTAGCTAAGGCAGCTGTCCTGCTAGTTCAAAGCCTGTGTGCTGGCACTGTGGGCCCATGTTGCTCTGGGCACTGCTCCATTGAGACAAGGTCCTTTACCTGATGGCAGTGAGCTTGCTGGCCAGCTGTTGAGAGGCGGGCACTGAAGCCGGAGCCTGCAAAGCCCAAGTGCAGCTGCGAAGTGGAGTTGCTCAGGCTGTCCCGGCGCATGCTGAGGCGCTGGATGTCCCCGTCATACGCTTGGAAACAGGGGTGGCACAGCTCGCACTGCGGGTAGGTGCTGCAGTGTCCCCGCTGGCACTGGTCACAGCGCAGCCCCGTAACGCCCGGGCGGCACAGGCAGCGGCCTGTGGCCTTGTCACAGCCTGCCTCCTCCGTGCCCTGGAAGTCGCAGTTGCACTCTAGAGGATGGGAAGGAGAGAAGACACAGAGGTCAAGCCCACGCAAGAGGGGTGGTGGGAATCAGACCCTTTAAGCGAGATGCCAATATAACCTGAGGTCAAACTCTCACTGCACTAAGAAACACCTTGCTAATGAGAAACGGCTTTTACATACCTGTGCATCCCACCCTGACATCTCCGTAGTGCCTATCTGGGCAAACCTGCTGCTGCTCTGCAGAACATGTTCTTCCTGTGAAGCCTTCTCGGCAAGAACACTGTCCTGTGAACTGAAGCAAGAAAAATACATCAGGGACATCCAGGTCTCAGCACCTCCCTGAGAAAGCCCTCCCTTGATTTGCTCTTGATTTGATTTGATCAGCAAAGCCTCACTGTGTTCCCATCCTTTGCTGACTTCAGCAGTAGGAAATTCCAGCCAAAGGCTCCTGCACTTGGATCCCGCAGCAGAAAGCTCCAGGCTGATATGCAACCTCAGTTCTATCTCTACCCATCCCTCATTACGCCCTTCTGCTGTCAGACCCTGGCAGAATTAGTCACATTTTCATCCCACGCAGACACTTCTGCTGTTGCTGAACCTCTCCAACTCCTTAAGCGACAACGAAAATCAGGCATGAGCGGGAATTCAGGCACCTATCTCCCAGCACTTGTGTTTATCATCATTGTTTAAGTCCCATGTGAGCTCAGCTGCTAATTCAAGCCTGCCCCATGAAGTGAAACACTCTGCGCAGTGCACCCTGAAGTGCAGAGCCTGAGCTGCTCTTGAGCCTTTCTGTTTTCTATATGTCTTGTCTCCTACTTAAGGACAAGACTAAGGGTAGGAAAACAACAACAGCACCATAGCCCTGCTCCTGCAGCCCTGGGGAGAGGCTCGTCCCATCACTGCCAACACTGTGGTTTATTACCAGGATGTTCGAGAGAGAGAATAAAAGAAAGGAGAAGGTTGCCCTTCCCTGCTCTGATGACCATTGCCACCACCCTGAAACTTTGTAAGGGGCTTCTGACCTTCCCCAGGGCCCGGCAAAGGTGGCAGAACGGGATCACCACGTAAGGTCTGCACATGGCAGTCACTTCCATGCTGGGAAACTGCCCTCAGTTAAACCGGTTGATTATTTCCTAGGCTGATTTTTATCAAATAGAGGAGCAAAGGATTGCTGTGAGCTCCTTACAAGTGCCATTTCCCAGTACAGAGGGAAGCAGGATGGACTTCTGTTTTATTAAGTCTCAGTGCTGCACACCCTCATCTCCAGGCTCAGCTGGTCCCCAGGTTCAGGTGCAGATTTCCAAACAGCCTCAGCTTACAAGCATCACAATGCTTAGGTTTCAGGTTGTGCTGCAAAGACAAAGGAATCACCTGCAAGAAATTAGGCCTAGTTTATGATCTCAGATCTCCTCCTTGTGTTGAGCTGGTTCAGGAGACCTCTCTTTGGCTCTTAGGATATATCATTTCTTCTTTTTTTTTCATTTAATTTTAATTTTTCCCAGTTGCCTATAAAGCCTGAAGTGACAAATGCACTTTTCACTGACAAATGAGGATAATTAACTTGCCTTGCCTGGGTGAAAATCTCCTATTAGGATTTCCTGACCAACCATTGGGCCTTTTAGAATGGTTTAATCTTGTCTCTGTAATTACCACTTTCCCTCATTTTCCTGAATAGCTTGTCATATTGTTTCCAGGAGATGGAAAGTGGCAAAGTGACAGCATAATGCATTAAGGAATGCACTGTCCTTCTCTGGAGGAGCTCACATGGGATGGCAAGATGAAGCCATCGAACAAGTGGTTTTGATGCCTCAGTGACATGAAGAATCCGCGGGGATATGTGCAGAGCCCTGCCAGCTTATCCCCACTCCCCTCCAGCCAGCACTGTGCCAGCAGCTCCACATAGGATGTTCTTCAGCATTGGCTGGAAAACGGAAAGGGAGGAAAAATAGGAGAGCACCTAGTGAAATCAGCCCCTCACAGCTAGCTCAGAGCAGGCTAAAGCAGCAGTCCTCAAGCAGCCGAGAGCAGCACGAGACAGACACCAAGCGAGTGCCCAGGGCCAGCAGGTCACTCCGACCCGTGCCCATCCTGCAGTGCCCCACGCGTGCGGCAGGGCCACGCGGCCAGGGCTCAGCGCTACCTGGTTGCACTGGGCGCCGAGCGAGTGGTGAGGGTGGCAGTCGCAGGGCTGGCAGCCCTGGCCACTGGTGATCTGCCAGTAGCCCAGGGCACACTGGTCGCAGTTGGCTCCCACCACGTTGGGCAGGCAGAAGCACCTTCCTGTCTCGTCGTCACAGGGCATGTCCGGGCGCGATCCCAGCAGGTTGCAGGTGCATCCTGAAACGGGAAGGCTTCAGTCTCGTTAGAACTGGGGACTTGCCTTCCCCCAGCTCACCTCCACAGAAGCACCTCACTCGAGTGAGCATCGGAAAGGGGATACAGCCCTACACATGCTCTCAACTTCGGTTTCCCCATGGTTTTTGCCACACATATCTGAGACAGACTACATCCCCAGCAAGCCCTAGTCATCAGGGTTCTGATCTGGAAAGCCCAAATCACTGCTGGCTGGAACAAGGCCCCTTCCAGAGTTAGCAGAGATGCTGTATGCAAGGCTAGGGGCGAGCCTGGCAGCACTAGCTCTTTCCGAGGCTACTCACTGCGGCAGCCCTGCGGGTTGGCGTTGGCCAGCTGGGTGAATCCCGGCTTGCAGAGGTGGCAGCGCTCCCCCTGCACATTGTCCTTGCAGACACAGCGTCCCGTGAGGTGGTCACAAACGGACCCTGGCACAGTGCCATCTGGATCGCATTCACAGGCTGGAAACATGCAATAGAACACATGGATAAGGAGGCGGAAGAGAAGTCAGTGGGAATTTCAGGGCAAGATATTACTCCGAGATAACCAGGCACTTACGTAGACAGGCTTCAGGATGGGCAAAATCCTGACGCTGGTTGCGAAAATAGTTAGTTTTGCACCGCTCACAGTTCTTCCCTTCTGTATTGTGCTGGCAGTTGTCACACACACCGCCGCTCTCCCCGCCACTGGCTTGGTAAACGTCTGGGTCAAAATGGCACGAGTCGGAGTGGCCGTTGCAGTTGCACCCTAAGGAGGAAGAGAGCAAGTCTGTCTAAAGCTGCAACAATGCCAGTCTCCCAGCAGCTGGAGGCCCCGCTGCATTGTCACTAGATGGTGCCCTCGTCACCTGCATTAGCACACAGAAACCAGCAGTGTGAAACTTGCACCACTTTTAGAAGCAGTTTTAGAATCCTGCTCCATTTGGTGAGCCTGGGGGCACCCGCCCTATTGCAGTTTCAGTATTGGCATAATTGATTCAGGAACAGGTTTGCAAAGACAGTTTGTATTAACATCCAGCCCCCAGCAGCGTCCAAGTGAAAGGACTCAGAATTTCCTCCCTCCCCTGTCACTCATGAACAAGCAGAAGTCAGAAAGCAGAGAGGCAAAGGCAGGGGTAAGTACTCTGGCATTCGTGGGGATTGTCATCCTCCGCAGGTCGCCATGGCTGGTCATTGTAGAAATCTGCACAGTGATTGCAGTTTGGCCCTGCAGTGTTGTGCTGACACACACAATGTCCATGAACCTGGAAGACAGACAAAATATTATGACACAGGTTGTCTTGCAGCTATTACCCTACTTCTGCAAGCACAAGGGGGCAACATTTTTCCTAGACTGATTCAAAGCAGCCTCTGGCCAGGGATAAGACTGTCTCGCATCGAACTGCCGGCCATCCTGCCCAGCCTTCCTGGGAAGCAGGAAGCGGAGGTGTATGCAGGGGCTGGGACTCGGAGACGGGCTGATCCTGAACAGTGCTGGTCTCCCAGCTTCTCCCGGGGCTCTGCACTCACCACGACGTGCTGATCTCCAGAGGGAGCACAGAGATCCGCGTGCCCGTTGCAGAAGCAGCTCCCCTGCACCTGCATTTCTGTCACCGCATAGAAAGTGCTGGGCGAGTGGTAGCCTTGGTGCACAATGTGGGCGAGCTGAGTGAAGTTCACCCGCAGGTTGGTGAATTCTGCCAGGTCTGTTAGGGACCAAGAAGAGATGTAAGGAGGCAGCAGGCACAGAAACACTGCAATCAGCACTGAGGGTTAGGGACAAGAGACAGAGAGCAGCTTCAGCATAAAACGGGGAGGACTGAAAGCTGTTCCTGCCTTCAAGGTATTTGATACACCGGTCTGCAGGATGTCTTAGGGGCACTGCAGAGGCAAGTTGTGTAACTGCTATACCTGTGGTGTGCACAGGGGACATCATACATGACAGAGGTGCCAGGGTAGCTGTCAAAAATGCTGCCAAACGCTTGTTTTGCAGAGAAATTGCTCTCTCAGAAGTGCTTACTATGACTCAGTGCCCTCCATCACGTGTAGGTAAAACCCTAAGAGGTGCATCCTCCTCCTCTCCCTTTCTCAGATACCCAGAAGGTCATTCACTTACTGTTGACAATCTGGCTGTAGGAGGTAGAAATGGTAGGTGCCAAGTCTTGGACACTGAATTTGATCTGAGAAGGAAGAAAATAAGAAAATTAAAATGCAGAATGATAGGGTTCTTTCTTTTCATAACCTAAGCAATGGGTTGTGCCCTAGACCTGATTCCTCTGCAGAATTGTCACTTACTGAAGGAAAAAGAACTCAGAATTGCTGAGGATTTAGCAACAGACTAACATTAGCTTGCCCACAGAGCAGAAAGGACCTTCCTTTTGAAGGAGCAAGAGTCTTCCAGAGGATTACTCTCAGCACTCTTGGATGTCCACTGACTCGCATCACTTGCTAGGCATAACATTTGTAGAAGATTTCCTGTGCCACGTATGAATCCCAGCATTTCCAAGCCACCATATCCTTCTGCAATGGACTTAGGTGATCTGCCCTCTATTACAAGGTCACATTACAAGGAACGTACAAGTGCTAGGGCTTCCTGCAGTGAAGTCCCATAAACCCTACCGTGCCCCCGTGCAAGGGGTATCCGTGCTGGGCATGCAGCGCTTGGCACCGTGCGTCCTGCCAGCTCTCGGCGGGGCTCGGGGGGATCCCGGGGAAGGAGGCGGCGCAGTCAGAGGCCAGGTACTGATAAACGCTCCAGGTCTTGCCGAAGTCGGTGGAGCGCTCAATGAGCATCGCGGCAGGGAGCAGCGACTGCAGCGGCAGGGGGAAAGAAGAGGCAGGTCTACGAGTCAGGTTGCACCAAGTGGATTTGACAGCAGACGCTCAGTTATCTGGGAACCTGCTCCCCAGCGCAGGCCGCCTGCTCTGGCCCTCCTGCTTGCTCTAGGAAACACTCACACAAGGGGAAGAGCAGGGAGGAACGGAGGCACGATCCCCGGCCTGCTTGCGGGGAGCCCAGGGGGAGGTTTGCATCGGGCTTCCCACATGCTGCTAGGGGCCAGCAGGGCCCTTCCACTACAGTTTGTAACCGATCTGAAAATTAGGAAGGTGCATACAAACCCTGAATTTAAGGACGATGCTATTGAGCAAGAATTTCTTGTCCAGATCCAGCTGCAAAGAGACTCGATCCATACCTAGAGACACAAACAGGCAGCTTTCAAAGAGGCAAGCCATGGACTTCAGAAAAACAGAACATTTATCTGTCTGAGCCAAGTCATTCATTTCCCTTTTTCCCTTCCAATCTACTGGATTCAACACCTCCCCTCCTTTCCTCAGTATCACTATTCCAATTACTTAAGTCACCAAGTGTCTGTGAAAACGTGAAGTTAAAACTTGGAATTATGATCCCACAGGGAACAGCTTGTTTTGATTCAAATCCAAAATTAAAGTTCCAAAATCCCGTTTGAAACACTTTTGGAAAATCAGAACTTTCTGTTCAATTGTTTTCTGAACCTAACTGCAGCATCCAGGCCCCTCTGTTGCTGGGAATGCTTAAGGTTGATCCCAGGCACCAAGAGGAACCCAGGAGAGATTCCTG